CTCGCTTTTACGATGGATAGGACGGATACAAACAATAATTTCTTTCGCAACGTTTAGTATCATTTACTTAATATGGAGATCATCTGAGGACGATTTTTCGTTATATATGCTTCATTTCTTGGCTTATTCCGGCTACGTGCGAAGAATTAGATGACAATGTTTGTGTGCTATAATTATACTGATAATTTCTTGCACCTTGAAACTCATGAAAGCCAAACTTGTTTAACCCTAGCAAAAAACTCTTTTAACGGAGAAACTCAACCTGATAGTTGCACTAAAATCTAGTAATTGTTATTGCATTTGCGTGCTCTCTGTAACCTCGTGGGTAGAACATACCTGATGGTTACATTAATAATAATCACTGCATTTGCTCTCCGTAACCTCGTGGGTAGAACATACCTGAAGGTTACGTTAATAATAATCATTGCATTTTCTCTTTGTAACCTCGTGGGTAGAACATACCGGATGGTTACATTTAAAATAATAATCACTGCATTTTCTCTCTGTAACCTCGTGGGTAGAACATACCTGAAGGTTACGTTAATAATAATCATTGCATTTTCTCTTTGTAACCTCGTGGGTAGAATATACCTGACGGTTACATTAATTATAATCACTGCATTTGCTCTCTGTAACCTCGTGGGTAGAACATACCTGAAGGTTACGTTAATAATAATCATTGCATTTTCTCTTTGTAACCTCGTGGGTAGAATATACCTGACGGTTACATTTAATAATAATCACTGCATTTGCTCTCTGTAACCTCGTGGGTAGAACATACCGGATGGTTACATTTAAAATAATAATCACTGCATTTTCTCTCTGTAACCTCGTGGGTAGAACATACCTGAAGGTTACGTTAATAATAATCATTGCATTTTCTCTTTGTAACCTCGTGGGTAGAATATACCTGACGGTTACATTAATTATAATCACTGCATTTGCTCTCTGTAACCTCGTGGGTAGAACATACCTGAAGGTTACGTTAATAATAATCATTGCATTTTCTCTTTGTAACCTCGTGGGTAGAATATACCTGACGGTTACATTTAATAATAATCACTGCATTTGCTCTCTGTAACCTCGTGGGTAGAACATACCTGATGGTTACATTAAAAATAATCACTGCATTTGCTGTCCGTCACCTCGTGGGTAGAGTATACCTGATGGTTACATTAATAATAATCATTGCATTTTCTCTTTGTAACCTCGTGGGAAAAAAAATTAATGCCTCTCTCCTGGAAATTTTGCCCTGTCCTTTGAGCATAGTGATCTTTGGGTAGCGAATTCACGAAAACAGGTAAAACGCTTTTTTTAACAAGCATTTATATTATTTGGCTTTTTGAGGGAGGTTAAACATTAATGGAATAGAATATAAAAAAAGCTGATAAAGCGGAAAAAGTTTTCTTTAGAAAATGCGCTTTGACAATGTCAAGGAGTGAAATAAGCTGAAGTTTTGTAGTTAGCCCGAAGAAAACCTGTTCCTGCATGAAAAGCAGTTCTGATTCCCTTCTCTTAACTAGAAGAGATGCATATCCCTGTGAACCAGTTTTTTAACTAGGAGCGATTCCCAATCACTTAAGATACTTTATTGACACGAGTTCCTATTTCAATATATGTCTAATTCAAGCTTAGCCGCGTGATAGCTCTTCATTAGCGAAAAGGTCCAAGTGATATTTTGATTGACGTGTTGTTTTGGATCCTGAGGTTTTTTAACACCTTTTCTCTAGCTTAACTGGCGAAGATATTCTAGGAATTTGCCCTTCAATTCCAAATTCTTTGATGTGCCGCCAGATGCCGTGCAAAAATATCACCTCTTGCGGCTCCTCGTGGAAATAATATGTCCTTGGAAGGAAAGTGTTGCTAAGAAAACAATGTGTCTGAGGGGATTTGATGTTTAGAATAGTTACTATGTGTTATGGATCAGAAACCCCTCCCTCACCCCCGCCCCCCTTCCCAAATTTATTTGGGCACACAGTTCAATTTTTCTCAGTGATACCATCTCCATACGCATGCCGTGGAGAACTGTTTTGCAGTTCCCAACCGCAACAGCTACCACTTGTTTACGGTGCTTGCACTCGCCTCGGCAGTAAATGTTCTTTGATACGCCAGCAATCCCCCGCTAATTGACCCAACGGCTATGCCAGGCGGATGAGCCCGAATAAGGGCGAACCAGCTGTCCATGGCTGCCACTGCTTGGGTGATATGGTTGTGCGCATGCATAAGGTATTGGTCATAACGCAGTGATGGTACGTGTGCTTCAGTGCAGTTAACTGGTATTGTTAAAAATTTAGCCCTCTCATATCACTTGTGCGCTATAACTGAAGCTGTTCTTCATGAAGTTAGTTCCCACTCAGTTTGTTAACAGAGTCCCTTAGCGAGTAGCGCGTTTCACATCCAACCTTGTCCCCAGGGCTTTTCCCTTAAAAAATGGGTGGGGCGGGAAAAGGCCCTGGCATCGGCTGGTCACGTACACAGCCTAAATATTCCTGAGAAGCTAATTTATATGCAACCCGTTGGTTTTGCGCTGACAGAAGTCGAACGGAGCAACAATGGAAAATAATAATACGATAATATCGCGAACTGTATGTCAATATTTTCGCGTCTGTGCGATTCAGAAGCTTAAGATCCATTTAATTGCGTATTATTCAAATGCTATAAGTTTATGAAAGGGCCTACCGGCTCTACGTTGTCACGTGCAAAATATGTCAAATGCTTTAGAGTTGAGACAAGCTGTTATCGAGTAGTACTTCGACTGAAATTCATCGTGACTGTGGAATTACTGTACGATCAAGCAGAAAGTGATTTTGTTCAATGTCAATCAAAAATGCGGTCCTTTGCCTCTAGGATCTGCAGTGAATTTAAACAAATTGAACTTAATTGAAATAGAATTGTTCATCAAAATGCTTTATGGAGTCTGGTCTTCTCTACAACCCGACCATGAAACAAACAAATCTCCGCGCCGGATGCAAGTCAGCCCTCCAGCCAGGAACGATGACAGGTCGCCGATCTGAAACATTTTAAGATCTCTTATATCTTTTCTCTTCCGAGGATAAGTACAAAGGATTTTCCTTATATCAAAGGGAAGATTTACCGATCGATTGGAATCAACTACAGCTCTGTCGATTTCAAATGGACCCAAGTCTTTCTTTGTTACCAGTCGTTTGATGCCCTGGGTGCCAGAAGCTTTTCATGCGCGGTTTCCCTGTTCGGTCAAGTCTCGCAGAGGTCAATGAATTTTTTAAAAATACAGGTCATACTACATAAGTCTAACCCAATGCGTGTCGCTATGATATGGCTGAGAGTCAAGGTGAATAGAACTAGGTTGTGTACGGCGGTCCACTTCGCAATAAATAAATAAAATATCAAAAGAGTCGCGAAAACGGACTTTCCATGCCAGAACAAACTTTATGCATGTACGATAGCTTGTTTGTCATTTATATCGCTCTATGAAGGACGTTTTACAAATGTTACCGCTCGCTGTCTCCTTCATAAAAATCGGAGGAAAGCAAAAAATTACCATAGCCAGTATCTGTGACAAAAAAGAAATCTTGTAAAACTTTTCGTTACTCGGCGTCAAGAGATATAAAAGGCCGCCCAAGATCGCGCGCTGTGAGGTTACGCATAATTTCAGCTTTTCACATAGCGCTAATTTATTACACCCAGGATTTTAGGGTGTACGAGGGGACACGTGACCAGCCGATGCCAGGGCCTTTTCCCGCCCCACCCATTTTGTAAGGGAAAAGCCCTGGGGACGAGGTTGGTTTCACATCGTTTAACAATTTAGAGGATAAATATCCGGGAACAAGATCATTTAAAGACTTGTGAACCATTAGGGCTTTTTGTACTTGAAACTGAGTGCTCAAGTCTTTCCAATTAAGTTGTTTAAATAAGCGGTTGGCATAAGCATCACATCTAGAAAAGGTTAGAACACGAGCAGCACGGTTCTGAAGCTTCTGTAACCTGTTAAACAAAGTTTTTCGACAATTACCCCAGACAATATCACTATAATCGAATTAAGATTGAATGAGGAGCGTTGTATATACAATGGAGAGTAGGCGTTGGAACAAAAGCTTTGAGGATCTGTCCCTTGAAATCCAGAGTACACCCCTCAACCCCCGGGTATTCGCGCGGCACAATGAACTGGTGGCGTTACAGTTGTGTTTTCCTGTCTCACACTCGTTTGTGTCTGCAAATTAAGAGTTAACGCTGAATTATCAAACCGTAGATCTGTTTTAAAAAGCATCATAATATGCCGTCCACGTTCCTATTTTGTCGATGCCTTTATCATTTCAACCTTATTCACCGCACGTAAACCCGAGAAAAGAAGAAGACATTATTAAAGTATACATTTCAATTAGCACATCTTGAAGTGCTTGGTGGTATATTTACCTGTACATTTATCTTTATATCCACTTTTGCAAACACACGTGTAATATCCTTTAGCGTTTTCGCAGTCTGAAATACCTTTGACACATAGGTGTTCTCCAGTCTCACACTCGTTTATGTCTGAAATCAAGAGTTAATGCTGAATTATCAGCTGACTTTGTTCGATTTTTATGTCGACTCAGTTTTACGTGTTGCACCCTTGGAAAGCTTTCGCTGGGGGAATTTAGCCTGAGAAAAAAAAAATTTTGTCGGATCGAGCAAGCAAAGCCGGCCAGAATAATAGGGCTAGGAAATGCACACGCCAAAATGTCACTCGAAATCGCACATGTGAGCCTGTTCGCACCAACATTTTTCATGGATACGACCTGTGGGGTGTTTCTTGGTGATGAGAAAACTATTATTGGTTAGCTGTTGTTATGTGGTGTGGATATTGTTCAGTGTCTTCTTAATCTTTTGTATTACGTCATTTTGTGGTTGCACGCGTCCACAACATCAAGAAACTACCGATCTGTGACATACCACTGACTAAATATGAAACCGGTTTCCAGTCTGATTGGCTCTAATCTTTATGGTATGGAATAGCATAAAACTAAAGATGAAATCCTGTTAGTTTAAGCTCCGTATTGTTTGCTACCTGCACAGTTAACACCATCCCCAGTATATCCTGGCTTACAAGTACAAGTGAAGGAACGCTTGGTGTTGGTGCAGTATGCATCATCGTGGCAGTTATGTAGTCCTGTTTTACACTCATCTACAAATCAGCAAGTGGAAGTTAGGTAAGAATTTGACGTAAAGTAATCCACCGACAAAGTCAGTTTTCAGTTTCCGCCGATCAAGAGTTGTTTAAATGGTTTATTTGCAACAGTTCAAGTGAGTTCAAAATTTTTATAATCTATGAATACTCTTCGTTCAATGTCACCAACCACTGCGTGATTTACTAAAACAAGTTTGTTAAAGGACTTGGAACGTTAGTCTCAAAACTTCAATCAAGAAACTTTGCACCCCTAAGGACGCATCGTATAGTGCTGCTAGGGCTACACTCAGGGGCACCCAATGGATCTGTTCTTCAAAATATCTGTTCTTCAGACCAATTTTTGCTGGCTGGGAGATGTGGAAGAAATAATATGTCCTTGGAAGGAAAGTGTTGCTAAGAAAACAATGTGTCTGAGGGGATTTGATGTTTAGAATAGTTACTATGTGTTATGGATCAGAAACCCCTCCCTCACCCCCGCCCCCCTTCCCAAATTTATTTGGGCACACAGTTCAATTTTTCTCAGTGATACCATCTCCATACGCATGCCGTGGAGAACTGTTTTGCAGTTCCCAACCGCAACAGCTACCACTTGTTTACGGTGCTTGCACTCGCCTCGGCAGTAAATGTTCTTTGATACGCCAGCAATCCCCCGCTAATTGACCCAACGGCTATGCCAGGCGGATGAGCCCGAATAAGGGCGAACCAGCTGTCCATGGCTGCCACTGCTTGGGTGATATGGTTGTGCGCATGCATAAGGTATTGGCCATAACGCAGTGATGGTACGTGTGCTTCAGTGCAGTTAACTGGTATTGTTAAAAATTTAGCCCTCTCATATCACTTGTGCGCTATAACTGAAGCTGTTCTTCATGAAGTTAGTTCCCACTCAGTTTGTTAACAGAGTCCCTTAGCGAGTAGCGCGTTTCACATCCAACCTTGTCCCCAGGGCTTTTCCCTTAAAAAATGGGTGGGGCGGGAAAAGGCCCTGGCATCGGCTGGTCACGTACACAGCCTAAATATTCCTGAGAAGCTAATTTATATGCAACCCGTTGGTTTTGCGCTGACAGAAGTCGAACGGAGCAACAATGGAAAATAATAATACGATAATATCGCGAACTGTATGTCAATATTTTCGCGTCTGTGCGATTCAGAAGCTTAAGATCCATTTAATTGCGTATTATTCAAATGCTATAAGTTTATGAAAGGGCCTACCGGCTCTACGTTGTCACGTGCAAAATATGTCAAATGCTTTAGAGTTGAGACAAGCTGTTATCGAGTAGTACTTCGACTGAAATTCATCGTGACTGTGGAATTACTGTACGATCAAGCAGAAAGTGATTTTGTTCAATGTCAATCAAAAATGCGGTCCTTTGCCTCTAGGATCTGCAGTGAATTTAAACAAATTGAACTTAATTGAAATAGAATTGTTCATCAAAATGCTTTATGGAGTCTGGTCTTCTCTACAACCCGACCATGAAACAAACAAATCTCCGCGCCGGATGCAAGTCAGCCCTCCAGCCAGGAACGATGACAGGTCGCCGATCTGAAACATTTTAAGATCTCTTATATCTTTTCTCTTCCGAGGATAAGTACAAAGGATTTTCCTTATATCAAAGGGAAGATTTACCGATCGATTGGAATCAACTACAGCTCTGTCGATTTCAAATGGACCCAAGTCTTTCTTTGTTACCAGTCGTTTGATGCCCTGGGTGCCAGAAGCTTTTCATGCGCGGTTTCCCTGTTCGGTCAAGTCTCGCAGAGGTCAATGAATTTTTTAAAAATACAGGTCATACTACATAAGTCTAACCCAATGCGTGTCGCTATGATATGGCTGAGAGTCAAGGTGAATAGAACTAGGTTGTGTACGGCGGTCCACTTCGCAATAAATAAATAAAATATCAAAAGAGTCGCGAAAACGGACTTTCCATGCCAGAACAAACTTTATGCATGTACGATAGCTTGTTTGTCATTTATATCGCTCTATGAAGGACGTTTTACAAATGTTACCGCTCGCTGTCTCCTTCATAAAAATCGGAGGAAAGCAAAAATTACCATAGCCAGTATCTGTGACAAAAAAGAAATCTTGTAAAACTTTTCGTTACTCGGCGTCAAGAGATATAAAAGGCCGCCCAAGATCGCGCGCTGTGAGGTTACGCATAATTTCAGCTTTTCACATAGCGCTAATTTATTACACCCAGGATTTTAGGGTGTACGAGGGGACACGTGACCAGCCGATGCCAGGGCCTTTTCCCGCCCCACCCATTTTGTAAGGGAAAAGCCCTGGGGACGAGGTTGGTTTCACATCGTTTAACAATTTAGAGGATAAATATCCGGGAACAAGATCATTTAAAGACTTGTGAACCATTAGGGCTTTTTTGTACTTGAAACTGAGTGCTCAAGTCTTTCCAATTAAGTTGTTTAAATAAGCGGTTGGCATAAGCATCACATCTAGAAAAGGTTAGAACACGAGCAGCACGGTTCTGAAGCTTCTGTAACCTGTTAAACAAAGTTTTTCGACAATTACCCCAGACAATATCACTATAATCGAATTAAGATTGAATGAGGAGCGTTGTATATACAATGGAGAGTAGGCGTTGGAACAAAAGCTTTGAGGATCTGTCCCTTGAAATCCAGAGTACACCCCTCAACCCCCGGGTATTCGCGCGGGAGTTTTTCGTCCCATGAGCGACAACGCTTCCAATGAAGAGAAGGGGTTCAGAAATTCATAATTTACATTGTTCTTTGTATAACAAAAACGACCCCAACCCTCCTTAAGTTATTTTTACTTGTACTTAATTATTCATCCCATGGTTTTTTATCACTCACCTAAACAACTGATTTCAATCTCTCTCATGATCTCTTCCATTTCTTCTCTGTTTCTTTCCTGCTCTTTAATTATCGCTTCTTCTTCTTTATTCATCGGAACGGGACAAACTGAGAAACAGCAAAACAATAAATGAGCAGTAATAATAAATCCATAAGTAGGTGGAGCATGATCGTTAGGGTGTAGTCCTGAATAGGACTGTGTCGGGTAGTTATCTTCATAGTTAAAGTCGTTTGTTGTTATAGTCGTTTATTGTTAGTCAAATTGTCTCTTGCCTATAAAGTCACTTCTGTTTTTGTCAGTTTTGAGTCCGCCATAAGTCGTTTGTACCGTGCCCGTTGACTGCCATTCCAGTGGCTTTTGGTCTAATTTAGTAAGCCAGCTTAGATGAGTACTAGTTATGGTAGTCTGTAGAATGCGTAATACGTGTCGCAGAGTCCCGGTCGATTTAATGTTTCGTGTGGAAATGGTGCATGTTCAGCAATAAGAAGTGTGATTGTTGGCTTCACCATTTCTTGTTGCTGGATCGTCGCTGGTAAACTGTGACAAAAGACCGATCGAAACGACCCGAATCTTCATAGCCAATAACAACACGGCTTAACTGACACAAGACCAATCACATCGAGACTTAATTAACCAATCAGGTCAATAACCAGAGTACAATACAGATATCATTATTGACGTTTTCGTAACCGTCGCCGTCGTTGTTGCTTTATAAGCTCCCTATTATAAACCTTCGCCACGGTAGTATAGGAACAGGAATAATTTAATTTTATAACAATAGAAAAATGAAGATGATAATAATAATAATAATAATAATAATAGCACGATTTTCTAAGATACAAATTCATTTAAAATCTATTAAGAAAGTAAAACAGAGGATCAGTCTTGAACGAAGGCGTTTGGCTGGTTTTGAAGTCTTGATCGCACATTTTTTATGTGTAAAAATCATTATTTCATTTTTCTTTACTTCAGAATGATTTTTTGACCGCTTTCTGTATATGAAACAGCAACAGCAACAGGGTGCTTAAGGGACCGGTCATTATTTATCGCCTGGGGGGATCGGGAGATTTTGGGCTAAACACGATGAAATTTAGCCGATCCCCCCTTTAAATGTTATTTTATTGAAGTGATCCCCCCTCATAACTATATATAACTTTCGTGATCCCCCCCCCATGTCTTTGTACCCATATTCACCTTTCGACCACTGCACGAAAAATTGGATTTACTCAAATTTCCTCATGAGCAAATATGATGCAAACGCGGTGCAAATGTGTGGCAAACATGGTAAATGCCGTATTTACTCACACATTTACAACCCCTATGTAAAAGTGAAGTAAATACGGCATTTACCATGTTTGCCACACATTTGCACCGCGTTTGCATCATATTTGCTCATGAGTAAATGTGAGTAAATCCAATTTTTAACGTTCATATACAGGTCGTATTTCTAACTATGATGCACTTACAGCATAATAAAGCCGTTATCGCGCAGTCTTTTTTTAAAAGTGTCTCTTGATCCGTGTCTTTTTCTAGTCTGGATCCAGACATCTGAATTCAGTTGACATACAAGCAATCTTGCTTAAAACTGCAAAGTGCTTGAAACTGCAATCAGTGCTTGAAACTGCAAAGTTACTTTTTTTAGAGTGCCAAATAGCAGTCCGCCAAGTCCCTATCAGCAGGTCATATTTAGCGACAATTCGGCCATCTGGAAGGGCTAGGATCGGCCACTGTTCCTGTCTCCTTTTTTATTTTCATCTATAGTGTAATAGATCAGCCTTTGTAGCTTTGCTCACATTTTAGTTCATTTCAGGCACAAAACAGCTGCAACAGCAGTGACGTTGCAAAGTGCGAGTCTTTCTTGAGCACTGTAAATGACACTTTGAACAGTGCGTCTGATTTACGGTCATTGATTTATAGCAAACGTAAGGAGCTGTTTTCAGAGGACCACACTCTAAAGTCATTTGCAGGCGATGAGTTGGCCTATTTAGAAGAAGCACATAGGCGAATCACTACACTGCACGAGGAACTTCAGTCCGCATCCAACAAGTTGACAACAGCGCATATTAACCTGTCAAAGAAGTTTCCTTTGTGCGCGAGAAAATCAACAATGTCAAGAAGAAAGAAGGAAAATAAGAGGAAGGTTCGAAAAACCAAGGACAAGCGACTCAAGCAGAGGGCACGTCATCTCTTAGGAAACTTGACCTCAATCGAGGTCGCGGGCAAATTTTCGGTTCAATCGAAGAGAATGATAGAGTTACTCCTGTAGATAGCATCAATGCTGACTTTGCTAAGAAACTAACAAGGCGTTTTTTTGCATCTAGATCCTTTGCTATGGCTACTAGAAAAGGGTATTTTTGGCACGACCCTAGAAAAAAATCTAGAGCAAGTAGCGGCCATTTTAAGGGCACAAAGTCCAGGGTCAATCTGCCGAAGGGGACTAAATGTTGCTGTTGAATCGGATGACGAGGCTCAAGAGGCAAATGAAGTTGATGAATGGGATGATGAGGCTCAAGGTGAGGCAGATGAAGCAGTTGAATCGAATTTAGTATAGAGCTGACACAGGACGCCCATTCCTGGAGAGGCGATAAATGGTTTATGTTTAAACAAACACGCTTTTTACAATGTTTCAGTTATCAGAAGTTTATATAGTTCACAATTTAGAATTCACCTGTCATGTTTAAAGATGAATATTAGCTAAGTCATGAGCACGTTATAAAAGGAAAAATATAAAAGCGTTAAAACAAAGCTTTCTCGATATAAAGTGAAATGCACCCATTCGCCAGTGTGACAGACTTCCGTTTTTTAAATAAAGTTGTGTTAGAACAAGCAGAATGCAGAATGGGCACATTTATGTTGTATGCTTTCAAACTGGCATTATTCAAGCAGATTTGAGTGGTCCCCCTCTGAATCCTTCCAAATTTTCAGTGATCCCCCCCTTTTGAGCTCCTAAAAATCAAGTGATCCCCCAAAATCCTCCGACTCCCCAGGTGATAAATAATGACCGGTCCCTAAACATAATGCCTACAAACAGGTGCGCAATAAAATTTTGGTCCTGATGTCATTTGTCATTACCTCCATGGTTTACAACTTCCTGTGCCATCATCACAGCTGGGAACATGATAAAGGAACTGATAACTATCAATGATGTCATGTCAGCCATCGTCGAAGCTTGTAAAAAATAAAATAATATTAAATAATATCCATTGACATATAAAAATATTGAATAATATTGATCGACATTTAAAAATGTCAATGAATTTCGTTGGTGATGGAGAACCGATGCATAACCACGAGTCAGGGTGGAAAGAGGAGGCCCTGGAAAATTGCGGTGGGGCTGTGCGCCGTGATATAATTCCTAAATCCCTTACCCTATTTCACACCAAAAAATGTGACTTTCCTTACTCTGTTCTATTTCAGGTTAAAACTGGGGATAAATTCTCTCCAACATTTTCAGACCAAAAGGGCTATAGCTATACAGCTTATAGCGGTGCTCTCGCGCGCGAAGCGCGCCAGCGGCGCACCATGAGTAAGAAAATTCGGTAAACTATCCATCCGAGAAAATTTGGTTATGACGTAGCGTACGCCCCCCCGCCCGCCCACGCTTACACACACTTCATGTAAGCCGATGTCAAGTGTCACACTTGTCAGGACCGAGAAGAAAAACATGAAAATTATATAGGGGAGGGGTAGAAAATGAAGAATGCTAGCGGCTATTAATGTGAAAAAGGAGCAGCACTGAAAAAATAGAGTGAACAGGAACACAAACATTTCCTCCATAAAACGCGTAAATAGGACGCTAAAAGAAATTTGACGTTAGTCGTGTAAAACAACGGTAAGGAAATGTACAAAAAAAAACTGCTGCACGTGCAGGAATGTTTTTTTGCTAATTAGAAAAAAAAGTGTGCTGCACGTGCAAACTTGTTTTTTTGCTAATTAGATCTTTTGTTGTTGTTTTTAGCGTTCTCGTTGCTTTCAACTTGTCTTTAGTATTCATCGATTTTATATTTTCTTTGAGAAATCTATAAATATTAAAGAGAGCTTCGCTTTTAGCCCTGGCTAAATCTGTATATTATACATACCCAACGGGCATAATATAATACGGATAATTATATGGTCCTATCAGTTATATAGCCGGAATAATACCCCGGGGACAACTTAGATAAAGAAGTACCCCCAGGAAATTTATCCGATTGCAGACCATTCTTGAGTTTATTGAATCGCACCAAAGTCAATGTCGAAAGCCTGCATTTAAGCTTACTAAGAAAGAGTTGAAACCGCGATTCAAGAATAACTAAAAAACGAAATATGAGACAGTTTTTTGTATTTTTAGGGAAAGATCCAAGCAGCTGTAGGCTCAAGTACGTTTGATGCTAGTACAATTTTCAGAGCTATTTCCAGTCAATAACTCCCTTAATTCATTTATTAAGTAAAATGTATCGTCCCATAGATGCGGAAACCGTGAAACAGAGAAATCAAAATTGGTCATCTAGGCTAACTATAAGTACTAACCCTACTGATCCACCAGGTATGCAGTGTAGCTGAGTGTATGAGGTCAGACTAAACCCGAGTCTCTCGTTATGCAGATTAACTGATACATCAGTAGAGTCTGCTAACTTTCATGTTGTTTCCATAAACTTTCAATGATTTTTGTTCGGAACTCAAAACAAAAATTCCATGCAATACCCGGTGGTTTTCGTTTATTTTATTGAGGGACTGCAAAATTATTGTCGGTGATGGAGAAACAAGTGGTTTTTCTCTGTTAAAAATGGCCAAAATCAGCACTTTCCCAACGCAATCCAATAACGAACTGAACAGTCTCTGAGAACCGAGAAAAATGGATAAAATAGAAATAATATTACACAAACATTTTAAGTGAAATTCTGAATGGACAGAGTCATAAATAAGAATGCTTTTATGTAGCAACTCATAAGCGATGAACCGGCCAAACAAAAGAAATAAACTGGTCTACAAGGGATAACCTTGCAGCCGTATTTAAAAACCAACAAAGGTAAAGTTTATTTGCTGGCTCTTCCTCAGTCGTATACATGCATGCTACATGAAATAAAGAAAAACTAGGTAACTGATGCGCTTGAAACATTATGTAATATATCAGACAGTTACTGGATCGAATTAGAAGAAAACAAAATTTCTGAGGACAAAGTCGTAAATAGATAAGTGCTTCTATGAACCAACTCTTGCAAACAATGAATCGGCCAGATAAAGATGCTCTATACTGGAATAACCTTGCAGTCTAGATAGCAACAAAGAAAATATATTCACTGACTCGTATATGCGACGGTCAAAAAAGAAAAAAGAAAAAGAACTTAAAAAAATATATTCCAACTGATGCGTAATTTGAAACACAGTCCCCACTTTTTGAAGAAAAAAAAAGAAAAGAAAAGAAACGCACATTTTCAAATAAAAGGAATCTTTGATGGAATAAGAATATTCGATTGGCAGACCTCGCCGAAGCATCCAAATTGATGATTGGTCCGATTCGATCCTATATCATATGGTGATCCTCACTGAAAACGACTATCTTTACAAAACTCGGGGGCACCCAGCGACTATATTCTGTAAAATAACTGTTCGAAGGAGCAAATATTGCCTAGAAAATTCTAAAGCTTGAGAAGAGCCAAAAATTTCTGGATAACCGTTACATGTTTTCGCACTTTAATATCAAGATATTGCAGAACATGATAAATGAAATTGTCCCGATCTGGAAACTTCTGCTGGTAAATCCGCAACCGTCGCAGCAGGAAAAGGTCAATTTCGGCAGCTCGAATGTTAAAACCGTCTGAAACATAGCTCCATTCCGTGACAATGAATAAAGAAAGGTTCTAAACAGCCGCAAGGAGAAAACGGACAAGTTTTTGAAGTAAATAAAACACGGGAAAATTATGATGCTGCTGTCCACGGTTGCACCTTTTTGTTACTAACTCCTTTCTCGTTTATTTTAAAAACTATTTAAAAAAATGATTGATGAGTTGCAACTGTATTAAAAAATATTGAGTCGGCACCAGGTCAACGATTTCCACAACCCCACAACCTCCCACCCTGCCCCAACTTCACTTCAAAAGAGGCGGATCGGTCCCCGTACTTTGAAAACTGCTCCGCGGGCCCTGGATATATCAGGCAATTATTGAATTAAAAGGAAACAAAATTTAATAACAAAAAAAAATACCGAGATGAAAAGAATTAGAAGATACAATTTGAGTTAATCGTATTCGAAAAACACTATTTAAAAATACTGTTTCATCACTCTTTCCGTCAAGGATATATAGTATTCTGGTTCCAACTTCTGCCCTGTTTCACATCAGTGAAACTGTATAAATTAAGCCTCGAAATAAAGAACTAAAAACCTGATAGAAATATGAGGTAAGTAAAACTCCTGTAAAGATGGGATAGAACAGTTTGCGGACGAAAAAGCATGTAGTTCGTACTGAAAAGCACGACAAAGCAACTAAAGGGTTCAGTTATGTTGCAATCAGGGAAACGCGCCATCTTTCGATGCTATACAAAGAAAAACTGGTTTTGTTCAAGATTTCGGTCTACACACCGGTCTTCGCACATATTTTTAAGGCACAGTAAAACCTAAGGCTAGGGCAATTTAAAATGTAAGTGAAAAAAATACAGTGAAGGCTTTCAAAGTTGACCGTCACAACCTGCAAATTGCTATTTCTTCTGAGACTGATAAACAATTCTCATTTCCAATCCCACGCTCCGCCACTTTTTAAACAGTTAACTCTAGTACTTCAATAACTTTATATTTCGTTTTTATAGACTTATATGTTTATTATTGTGTATGATTGTTTTGAATCATAAGCTGCCTGAAGTATATTTGAAAGTTATTTTAAGCCTGTTTCTAAGAATCATTTCTTTTATATTAGAGATGCCCACTCCAATTATTTTCTTCCCAAATTATGGCGAATTTTCTGTTCGCTTTACTGGAAATGCTCAGTCGTTGCTACTGGAATGAGTGAATAAATGAAAACAGTACCTTCGTAGGAGTCAATTTAAAGGGAAATTAAGCCGACTATTACACCTGTCAAAACTATCTTTGATCTACCTCTAGCGCTTTTAATCATTTTAATGTCTAAAGGCGCTATATTAAGTGAATAAATTATTATTATTATTATTATCTTTTATAGTTTCTGTTGTCTACATGCCTGTCTCACGAAATGCAAATACTTATTGTTTTCATTAATTTCTGTTTCTTTCATTGGAAAGAGAAATAAACCTGACTTGACCTGATACGACTTCACTCACTCAAACTTAACCAGTCGCAATTCTAATTCACTGATGAGCCGTGACTTACCTTACATAAAACATGATAAAAGTAAATACTACAATGTTGTTTGGCTTTACAAAAGTAACTCACAATTTCAACTGACCACTTTCACCCAAAGTTAAAATGGCCCCGTCAGTCCAAGTCGCAAATTCAACTCGTTCTCTAGCAATTTACAACTCGTTCGCCTGAGTCCTAAGGATTAAGCATTTCTGGGGAGAAAAAGCTAGCTAGAAAGAAATGGAAAAGGTCTTTTAAGGCCTGACCCTAACAGGTGAATATTTCACATACAGCACACTTGTGGCCGTTGGACATGAATATGTCCTCTGTCAGGATGATCAAAATTGATAGATGATTACGAAATATTGTAGTTACAAACATCTCTATCTGCCATTCTCGTTAAAAAGTTTTATATCGTACGCACCTCAAATTTTTCAGCTCCTTTGATCGGTTGTATGTTTACCAACTTTTGCTGTCAAAAAGCTTCTTAATTCTGAGCAAACTTGTCTGAGTTGCTAATGAAGATGTTTTATAAATTACTTTATAAATTACAATTTAGAACAATTAGAGACATGACTAAGAAACTTAAACGCAGAAATTCAATGTTTGTCAGACCGGTGGCGCAAGCAGTTAATTTTTATTTATTGCTTTTATGTTGATAAAATGTTTGACCAAAAACAGCGGACAATAATCTCATATTTCAGTATTACTGACGTTGGCAGTACGGAGTACAATTTAAAAACGCCAAAATATCTATTTGTAGTTATTACTAACTATTTTCCGATCCTGTCCATAACTTGTTAAATTCCACCATCTGGTCGCAAAGAGACAATTGCAGTTTACTTTAACAAATACATAGTTTATTAAACCGT